ATTAATATTTTATATATTTTTAAAATAATAAAAGCCAAAAAACTATAACAAAAGTACAACACTTCCAAACAAAGCCTAACCAGTTTTTTTTTTTTTTTTTTTTGAAAAGCCAAAGAAAGAAAATTTTATTTAATAAGTACAAGCGGTAGTCAAGCTTATAAACATCTCAAGTTTAGTTTATTTTTCAAAAGCCTAATCAGTTTATTTTGGCACTAATTAGTAGATATATATAAACATCTAGTAATATTAAATTCCTGTAGTAAATCATATGGCATTGGTTTAATTTATAACTAGAACTTAGCCTTCACTAACAAGCGAGCCTTTTGCAATCTTGCCGGTTCCACCATGAGGGAGGATGTTGGTCTCTATCCGCTTCTCCGCGCCAAGTGCCGGTGGCACCATCAAGCCTTCAACTATAATCCCACACATGGCTAGCTTGTTCCTAAGATTAGAGAAATGGTCCGTAAAACCGGCCACGGTGATGTCGTAGAGCTTTTCTCAGCTCTCTCGTTGAGTAATGTTCTTAGAACTGCATCTTGTCCTGCCTCCTCTGCCAAGAGCGATGCTGCCAACTACACCACAAAAAATACCAAACAAGCAAAGCTAGATATTGTAAACACCGTCCGGTGTGAACGACCAAAAAGTCATTACCGAATAATGTTATGTTACTCTGTACATTGTAATAGAAGGTTTTTTTTTTTTTTTTTGAAAAATATATAAAATATTAATTAAAATTAGTATAAGTATATGTAAAATTAATTAAAAATAATTAAAATTTATAAGTTTACATTTTTAAATAAGGTGGTGTGTGAAAAGAATTTATAAGAGAATTAAAAGTCTACATGTATTATTTCAAGAGATGATTTTTTTATAGTTTGAAACTTTGAATTGATGTTTTTGTTGTCAATTTGAACAAGCAACGTTAATATATGTGTATTTATGTACCTACCCTTTTAGAAGTACGGTTAGCAACGTCAGGAATGGTTCCAACATAAGCTACAAGGCCCACATGAGGTAGAAAGTAGGAGGCAAGGATAAAGTTTAGAGTGTTGCTATAAGGGTTGAACGGAGGGTCCAATTTGTAACCAATAGCTTGGTAAAATTGTTAGGCAAAATTCTTAGTGCTGAGATCCAATTCAGGCCTTGGAACTCCTCCCATTGTAGCCTCAATAGCTCTGCACCCACATGAATTTAATTAAGAGTTTATCTATCTTGTGCCTTTAAGGCACAGGATAGGACTTAATTATTAAGAAATAATTATTAATTTTTTTAAAAGATGTAAGACTTTAAATTAAAAAAAAAATAAGTTTTGATTTTAATTTCAAATTAAATAAATAATTAATTAATATGTGATATTTATAATTAAAATAAAAATTAATTTTATTTTTTTAAGTTAAAAATATTATAATAATTATATAATTATTACTTTTTATTCTGTACACTAAGAACACAAATAAATAAACCATTTAATTAATCACAATGACCACTTCAAGAAAATGAAAAAGCCTTAGATAATAAATACAAAAGAAATAAAAAGTTTCAGGTTTGAAGTTTAGTAAAGCAACCACCTGAGGTATCCAATCTCCTGATAGCCAAATTCCTCGATAATCCCACGGGCGAAAGGGTCAAGATTGGCCATCTTGGCACCAATTGGTGGAGGAACACCCAGGGTCAATTCTTGTGCACACTCATTAACGCCCGGACCCAGCGCCCCGTTCAGGAAGAGCTCTACTCCAAGGAGCTCTGCTTGTCGTTAGCAACAATTTGTTCACACTCGTGATCATTGTTGTCAAAATCTAAATTTAAATCTTAAAATCTTACGATTTTACGATTTCAGCAAGACATTTCGTGTAAAATCTATACTAAAATCTGAAATTCATAAAATCTAGAGATTTTATGGTAAAATCTAGATTTTACCTTGAAATTAGGTGAAATCAGGTAAAATCTCGATTTTACCTTTACTTGGCAGCTGGACTTTTAGCTTATTTCCTTTTGGGTTTCTCATATTGGGTTAGTGAATTTTGACTAGATAACCCATAAATTAAGCTCATTTTTCATTTTAAAAACCAAGAACCCACACAACCAAACCACAAATTAACATTTTAATCGGGAATTCGGGATCAATTTGATTTAATTATCTAAAATTCTAAATTTAAGTCATCTTATTCATTTAATTTATTTGTGTTGTTGGATATTTAGATTTTAATTAGTTAATTTCAAGTTTTCAACTCTAAATTTGATTTATTGTTATTTAATTTTGATTTTATATAATTTATTATATATTATATATTAAATTTTGTAAAATCTCGATTTTATCGATTCGATTTTACAATTCCGATTTCACCTAACCAAAACGATTTTAAGTAAAATCTCGATTTTAAGTAAAATCTCGATTTTGACAATCTTGCTCGTAATCTATGAGATTGCCTTCAAGAATGATACATTGTATTGTAAGAAACAAAAGGAAGCCAGACGTGCAAAATGTACCAGTTCCAGCCATTTTATCGGAATCCAGACACGCTAGACAGGGCAGAACCAATTACTTGATCGATTTGAAAGTGCATTATCGATGTAATATCCCATTTGTGCAAGCAACTTTAAAGTCAGATTTTTGGTTTAGTTTGATTTGATAGGGAGCTTGTTTGTATGGTAGCCATAAATAGCAACCGGATTAGTCTGAGGATCTTATAGAAACCGCTATGATGGTGACGCACCAACCACTCTATTAACTGCTCTTTGGTCTTAGAGTAGCTTTTGACATTCGAGAATGCTCCTTTTTTCTGGGAATTGCTATTTGTCCATATATTTTCTTGTTTTTAATTAAATTTTTAGTATCTGAAAATTATAGTAAATCAGGTTAATATTGGTATTTATGTGTATATCTTTTGTAGAAGTGTTAAATCACTATTCGTAGAAAATAATTTAAAAAAATTTAAAAATAGATTAAAATAGATTATCAAATGAGAAACCCAAAGGCAAAATATATATTCTAGAAGTGACAAATTTAGAGTTTCAGTTTTTAATGGTTTAGAAGTTGAAAAGTAGTTCTTAAAAATGTTAGAAAACCTTTTAAAGAATCTACATTTGGCCCAACTCAATTTTGTGCAATAGAGGACATCTTTTGAAGCACTACTTTTAATTAATCTTTCTATTGTGAAAATAAAAATTAGACAACATTTTTGGGATGAGAAAACTGCTGTAAATTCTTGAAAAAGTTAAGAAATAGGCCTTTTTTTTTTTCTTTTTTTTTTTTTAAGTTGAGATGTAGATTCTTGCTGGAAATTTCAGTGTGAAGTTCTCCTTTCTAAAGAAAAAACTGTTTTATAAGTTGAGATGTTGTTTTCAATATTTTCACTGAGAAATTTGCTAATTATAAAAGTAATGCTTCCGGAACTAGTTTCATGTTATGAAGCACGCAAATTAGTGGGTTGGGTATTTACTGTCTCACATTCGAAAGTCTCTTTTATTATTTTATAGCCTAGATTTGCTAGGGGATCCTTTGCTTCCGCTCCGGAAATGTTATGGTGACACCAATGTATCTTCTTCTTCTTCTTTTTTTTCCTTTATAGAATTAATTATAGTGTTTGGATATTTTGTTCTATTGATTGATTTCAGTCTGTTTATTAATAAATGTATAGGATATTCTTCTAGTTTCTAATTAATAACAACTACCTTGATCAGTTGCTTTTAATTGAAAATAATTTTTTTTGGTACATTGGATTTGGAGAGTTAACTACTTGCTAGCATAAATGTTTAAATCTTTGATTTGAACCCTAAATTAATATTTTTAAGTTAGTAAGTACTAATTAAACCAAGTACTTAATAGTAATAAAAAATAATATAATTATAACATTATATGATATTGTAAATTTATGATATGATTTTTTTATATATAATTGATTCATTTCATTCAGGGGCTCACTCATGATATTATATAAATCCATATATTTAATAACACATTACATTTATTTAATATCACATTACAATTATAGACTTATAATTTTATATGATATTATAATTATAACATTTTTAATTTTTAATTTTTAATAATTAAATCAAATAAAATTAACATCTTAAAGACTAGTTTTGAAGAAGGTGTGTGCCCTAACACTTTTATGGCAATAAACCACACCCCCATTTATCTCGTCCTACCATTCTACGCATTATCAGTTTATATTCCTCATCAGATCTACTAATTTGACAAGGATACGTGGGGCTTAGCCTAGCTGGTAAGGTTAAAACTCTTCAACTATTTATTCTTAGATATGAAGTTCGATCCCCAAAAACCTCTGTTGTGGATGGTTAAAGTACTGTAAGTACCACAGAAAATTCCCATTGAACCTGTTTGCATGCCCTAACTGTATTAAAGGGGAAAAAAAAATAACTAAATTAAGAAGGAACTGTAAAGGGAGAGATCAAAATCTTGCTGCGTTAAAGAGTAAACGAAATGCATCCATGCATTTCAAAATTTCTAGTGAAAATTAAATACAAGCACTTTGACTATGGTGACAATGATAGTGCCAAACTTGCAAAATGATGTTTTGGTACGAAGTTATACATCAGATTGGGCAGGATTTTTGTTAAGAAGATAAGCCCTCACTGCTCAATTACACGCTTTGCACCATCCAAGGTGTTCTTCAGTAGCATTGCAACAGTCATTGGACCAACACCTCCTGGAACTGGAGTTATCCAACCGGCCACATTGCAAGCTTCTTGGAAATCTACATCTCCGACTAACCTATATCCTGATTTCTTACTTGGATCATCAACAGCATTTGTGCCAACATCAATAACTGCAGCACCAGGTTTTATCCAGCTGCCCTTGATCTGGGAAGCCAAATAAATAAATAAATTGAACAAGCTTATAATATGGATGTCAAATATAGGCCCTTTACTATGTTACCACAACAATTAAATAATACGTTTCTATAAGCTACCTTAATAAGCATAACAAAACTCTTAAGAGCGAAAAAAGGATGCAAATGTTAAGACAAAACTAAATACTCTGCTTTTATAGCCATGAATCCATTGATCATCTAGACTTACCATCATTGCTTGTCCTGCTGCTGCAATGACAATATCAGCTTCCCGAACTAGACTTTCAGGGTCAGGAGTACCTGAATGGACTATGGTAACTGTAGCATCTGCTTTCAGAAGCAGCAGAGAAACAGGCAATCCAACGATATTACTTCGACCCACAACTACAGCCTTTTTTCCCTTTATGCTTATGCCACTACGTGTCAGAAGTTCAAGACACCCCTATTGAGAGAAACATTTCAGGAAAAGAAAAGTGCTAATTAGTAAACAAAAAAGAAAGCAAAAATAAATAAACAAAAAAAGAGTAATGTAAAACTATTTTAGATAAATCATTATTCTAATAGGTGAAGGCATGGTGTGTTGCCTTGGGAGTGCAAGGAAGGAAAAGTGGTTCTCTGCCTTTCATAGCAAGCTTGCCAATGTTCAAAGGATGAAAACCATCCACATCTTTCTCGATGCTGATTTCACCCAAAACTTTCTCTTCATTTATGTGCTTAGGTAATGGGAGTTGAACCAATATACCTGTAAATCCAATAACCCATGCATTAAACAAAGAAAGTAGAGACAATGTTGCTAAGAATACATATTAGAACTCATTTTGTGGCAGTTAACAAAATATTTTTGCTTCTTAGCCAAATAACATATTTTATCCTTTTCATTTTAAAGAAAAGGAAATCTAAAACATACTTTCAATTTCCATATTCTTAACTGAAACAAATGAAAACACAACAAAGCACACGACTTTATGTTCAATTTCATGCATGGATGATCAGCAAGAATCATCTTGACAATTAGACACATTCTTCCTGTATAATCAAATCTTATTTTAAACACAGAACACAAATATAAAAATGGAAGCAATTCTCTATCATCAACCTGACACGAACATCAAAAACTAACCAACCATGTACATCAGGATTTGCATTTAACTCATGGACTTTGCTGATCAACTCCGCTTCAGACACTTGCTCAGGGAGGTCTACATCAAAAGACTTAATCCCCACTTCTTGACATGCTTTTCTCTTCATACTAACATAGCTCTGAGAATCCTTCCTGGCTCCAACAATCACAACAGCCAGCCCTGGAACCTGATCAGATCAAGCACCTAACTTTAATTCATACCTTCATATTTTGAATCTTTAAATCATCCAATTACATATGGAATTGGATCCTTGAGCACTCAGCAATGAATTCATTTAGGAAATTGTTAATTTTAATGCAAAATCAAAGTTCATACATCAAGAAATTCCAGACAATGTTAACCTTTTCGATAAGTAATATGAACATCCGTTGCTCATGATGAAGCAAGTGAATTCGCAGAATACAAAATTAAAGAGAGGCAAGGAGGCTAACCTTTCCATACTTTTTAGAGAGGTGGCGCACTTCGTCGGCGATTTCAGATCTGATAGTCTGAGCGATGGCTTTGCCGTCGATTACGGTGGCTTGATGAGATTGCGACGCCATTTGGCAGATGGATTAGGCGAGGAGCAGTATACAGATTACAGACCCGCTGGACACTAGAGTTAAAAATATGAGGGTACTTCCGAATGTACCCGACCCGACCCGGAGAAAACACTTTATTTTGCTACTCTATTTTTAAAATATTAATTAAAATGAGAAAAATTGTATAAAATATTAATTAAATTTAGATAAAAATTATAAATTTAAATTTTTAGATAAATTGTTGCATAAAAAATGTATGCAAAAAGTATTGTAAAAGAAAGCTTTAATTTACACACACAAGTTTTATTATATAATTCATATATAAAAACGTGATTGTTTATTTTTTTCATTATGAATGATTAATAAAATATTTTTTTGATCTTATTTTTAAAAATTAATGATTTTTTATTTAAAAAAT